GGCTGCGGCCCAGAGAGCTGAGGGCGCCGCGAAGCCGCAGGCCAGAGCTGAGGGCCGGCTCCTTCGAGCACCCAGGCGTGGACTGGCCAGGAGTGGCTTTGGACCCAGACTCCGTGCGGCCTGCGGACGGGGCGGGGCGGGGGCAGATGACAGGCCAGGTAGGGGCGGGCAGACCGGGCAGGGCCATGACAGGACAGAGGGGAGCACCCTGAACCGCCTCGGGGGAGGACGGCAATAGAGCCAGGGAGACGAAGGAGCCCGGAGCGGTGGGGGCAGGTCCGAGTGGGGTGCACAGTGGGGCTCCATACACATCCTCCTGCGGGCCCCAGACCACCTGTCGCCTGTTCTGCAGAGCCGGAAGCCGAGAGGCGCCTGGTGCCGGCTCTGGTCTCCGGACCCCACCCCACAGAGGAGCCCCTGAAACCAAACCAGAGGGCCTGATTGGGAATGGGGTGCTGCTGAAGGGCAGCAGACGCAGGCGGTGCTGCGGGGCCTGGCGGCGGGCACTGACGGGCAGGGTGGCGAAGGGCCTGCGTGGGCCTGAGCCCCATGGATGCCCCCTCCATGCCAGTCATGTGAGGGGAGCCCACAGAGCTGCGGGGGGCACTCACCGGGTGTGCATTGGGGGCACAGGCCGCCCTCAGCCACATGGGCAGCCTTTGCCCAGGCAGCACCCTCCCAGGCCCACAGAACGCCTGGTCTGAGCTAGTGCCCAGCACGGGTTGGGAGATGCCGGGGGGGCAAGGCCTGGTGGGCGCAGTGAGGCTGCGGGGGGGTGGCCCTGCTCCCATGGAGCCCAGCGGGCAGCGGGTGGCTGCTGGGCAGCAAGGTGGATGACCGACTGAGATCTCACCAGCCTCTGTCCCGCAGAACCGCGGACCTGGAGGGGGGCGGAGCGCAGAGGGCCTGCCCCACCTGGGTGGGCGCGCTCTGGCTGAGTCTGCCTCTCTGGACGGTCCATGGAGTCACACGCCGGCCCTGACGCAGGGCCATTGCCAGAGTGGCCACTAGTGGCAAAGTCAGCCTTAAAGTCTGCCTCTAGCGGAAGCTTGGTGAAGAAAGACCTCCAGCAAGTGACAGCCGCGAGCTGCAGGCGCTTCAGCTGCCATTTCTTTAAGGGAGGAGGGCAGAGATGTGGCCCTGGGCTCTGTCAAGGGTGGGGCTGAGCGAGGTGGGGGGCAGCAAGGGGGGAGCAGGCAGCCCCAGGTCCTTCTCCCCCACATGCCCCAGCTGCCCTGCACAACTGGCTCCTGGTGCTGGGGGTGTCTGGAAGCACCCCAGGCCCAGCCCGGGGCCACCACACACACCCACACAGTGGCTGCACCTCCCAGCCCTGGGCCCAGCCTGGAGCCAGAGGTGAGGGAAGGAGCCCCCGGGTGGCCCCAGGTCTGGGTCATCCCAAAGGGCCACAGGCCGCGCACCAGTGTGGAAAATGGCTGTTTCACACCCAAGGAAATGAAACCCAGCAGCCAGAGTACAGCTCTGCTCATGCCCTCCCCCATGGGGCCCTCTTGCTGACCCTGGAGAGGGCAGGACAGAGGCAAGACTTGGGCCAGGTGCCAGGGACACTTCCAGGTTCTGGACCAGATACCAGATGTGGCAGGCAGAATGGGCACCAGCCCGGCCTGGCTGTGGCAGTCCCGCCCTGGCAGCCTGTGACCCCACAGGGCTCCATGAAGGAGAGAGCTGTTGGCTGGTTGGAGGACATGTGAGGGGGCCCGAGGAGTGTGGGCGGGGGTGCTGGGCATTCAGTGGTGGACAGGGCCACAGCAGGCAGGGCCCCTCTTAGCCCACAGGGTGGCAGGCGTCTCGCCTATGGCCGGGTGGCCCGTCTCCCGTCACTTCTGCCAGGTCATCCCATGTAACTTCATTTGTCTTCACCTTTGAAGAATTGCTTTGGCTGCACCACACAAATTTTGATATGTTGGTTTAATTTTCATTTCTCTCAAAATACTTACTGGTTACTTAGAAGCATATGGTTGATTTACAAATATTTCTGCATTTCTCGAATTTATATTTTTTGTAGATTTCTAGTTTAGTACTGGTGTGATGAAATACTTCCTCTTATATTAGCACGTGATCTAGCCGAGTGGGGAGTGAGCGGGCTCTGGCGGTCAGCTAGGTGGGCTCGGTGGGTTGAGAGTATTTTTCATATCTGTATCTTTGACAGTAATTTTTTGTCTGATCTACTGATCATTGAAAGATATTGAAATCTTTAAATGTTATTGTTAAAGTGCTTATTTCCCTCTTCATTTTTGCCACTTTTTGCTACGTGTGGTTTGGGTGTATTTGTTACAACTGTTAAATCTTACTTAGGAATTCAAATTTGTATTATTATAAAAGCCTGTATTTGTCTCTAGAGAAATATTTTGCCTTCCAGTCTGGTTTATATGATGTTAGCAAGGAGATTCCGGATCTTGCTGGGCACTAACTGCACAGTCTATCTTCACTCATATTCCAATTTTTCATCCTATTTGTATCTTTCGACCTAAAGGATGTAGGCTTTACGCAGTGAAAAGATAGATCATGCGTACTTATTTTTTGAAGATTTTATTTATTATGCACACGAGCTGGGATGCAGCCAGGGGTTTGGGTGAGAGGATGCCCCAGAGACAAGAGTGGGGATCAGAGCAGGCGGATCCCGGACACCCACAGCTGAAGAGGCAGTGGGGAGACAGGGGCCTGCTGCCCTGGGGTCCCTGCCTGGACGGGGTGGACGCAGGTGCGAGGTTGCTGGAAGCTTGACAGCCTGGGACTTTAACCCCTGAACCCCAGGGGCCCTGTATTCTTTTTTTCTTCACTGTTTCCTTATGTGTAAGACAGGATTCCAAGGTTCCCCCTGGGCCGGTAAAGTTTAGTGGCCAGTCAATGACTGATCTAAAGATTGTGTGTAAACATGTTGAGCCAGTCAGGCCTCACCTTTGTGGAGAGCTGTGAGTATGGGCCGGATAAGCAGGGGAGGAGAGAGGCAGGCAGCCTGCAACCTGGCCCTGGCGCCTCCTTTCCGCTTGCGCAAAAGCCTCGCTGAGCCAGAGAGGCCTTTCCCCAGCGCGCTCAGCCGCGCCGGCCGCACCCGGCCATCTCAGTCCCCGAGTTTCCTTGTCTTTTGACCATCTGCGCTTGCTGCAGCCAGAGTCAGGCAGCTGAGCGCTGGGTTTGCCTACGTCCTGGGCCCCTTCCCCGAGGCGAGCCGGGCCCAGCCAGGCCCACTGGGGCCCTGGGCCAACGTCAGCCTCCCCACTCCCCACGCCCACTTCCGAGCACTTCCTGGCGCTGTCTTGAAGGCAAGCACCTCTTACATGCTGTAGGCCTGGGGCAGCCTCCAGAGTCACCTCGACACTCCTGTCCACTTCCTGTCACTCCTGGGGGCTGCTCCCCAAGTCACCCACACATGGAAACCTATTTTCCAGCAGCCACCCTGAGGAGGACAGGAGAGAGTGAAGAGTTTGACTTTTTTAGCTTAAATGCATTTTATTTTTAGAACAATGCCCCCCTTGAGATAAATGGCAGCTGGACAGAGAAGGCTGGGCCCGGACCAAACCCAGCCCTGGTGTCGGAGGCGAAAGGCAGCACCAGGTGCACAGGGGTTAATTCCCCAGCGCTTCTAGCCCACCCTTGGGGGCCTCTCTGTGGGCCCAATGGGTCAGCGCCCAGCACTGAATCTGGGCCCAAACGCCCGGAGGCCCTGGGGCAGCAGGCGGCTCCTGGCTCTGGCTCTCCCGTCCAGCAGCAGCGGACCCGCCTGCTCTGCAACCCGCTGTGGGGGCGTCCTCTCACCCCCGCACCTCTGGCCTGCGCCCCAGGCCCCAGCTCTGTGGGTGCATTAAGTAAATCTTTCTTTAAACAAAAAAGAATTAACGTGGGGGCCAGGGCCCGGGCAGCCCCAGGGGGGCCAGCCCTCTGCCAGGGCGCACCGAGGCCCCCGGCGAGGCTCTAGGCCTCCGGTGCCCGCCCGGGGGCGCCCCCTTGGGTGCAGAGGGCTTTCCCGCCTGCGCCCCTGGGCCTTGGCGCCCCGCGCGGAGGGACCCCGCACCCCCAGCTCGGCGGGCTCAGAGCCCAGCTGGGCGCCCCGGGCACCCTTCGGGTGGAAAAGCAAGTTACTTCCCACGCGCGGCCCGCGCGGGACCAACGGCCACCAACTCCTCTTCCCGCGCTTCCCCGGCGCCCCCACGGCGCAGGCGGCGCCGGCCCCTGCTGAGCCCACGCAGGGC